GGTTGAACATGGGCATTATTACCACGTTAGCTCTGTTTCTTTTCTTTTTTTTTTTTTCCTCTTTTGGCCGATTGAAGTTTGGACATTGTTGTTTCAAAGAAAGCCATCTCAGAGATGGCAGAGTCCTGCTAAGACACCCAGGAGGACTTTCCACTGAAAGGATCCAGATGGCCAGCGAGCCCCCCACATGCTCCACTTCTATAACCCTTGCTACTGCCAGTTGGGGTTGTAGGAGAAAACAAATCCATGCAGAGAGGCAGGCAAGGGAGGAAGAAGGCTCTAATCCACCCTCCCATCCCTTTCTGGCTCACTTTCCACCCAAGCGCCAGCACCGTGCACACACTGAAACCATGTCTAAGACATCTGGACCGAACCCCAGCATCTGTTGTAAGAAAAATGAGATTTCCAAGCCGGGCCTCTTAGGAGTGGGATGGTGCCAGGAGGGACGGGGCCTCCCAGGTAGACATTGTCACATGGAAACTTACGAGCGCATTTTCCCGGGACGGGTCGGAAAATGTGCTTTGAGCAAGGTTCCAGAACTCATACAAAAACATGCTCCTCTCTTTTCTTGGGGCACTTGTTTCACATGCCTCCCAGCAGTACCTCGCAAGTGCTCCAAAGAGCATACATACGGGCTCTTTGCCATCATCCTGCATCCAGGTACAAATATCACCGGGCCTTGTGCTTGCTTAGTCATTCAGGAGGAGATAAAGGCTTCCAAGAGTGAGACACACATGCTCATGTGATAGAGGCACATTCCTGTAGTGGAGGTAATAGCTGCTGCTTCCTGACCCCCTTTCACCACACCTTAGAGCCCCTGGGCATTTGGTCTCCGTCACTTCTGGAAGGAGTTACTGATGTCCAAGCACAAAGGTCAAACTCATCACATCATTGGTTTCTCCTTTTCAGGAGCCCGGGACTGTAAATAAAAGCCTTGGATTATGACATCATCGAACAATTTTCTCATCTGTCCATGCCTCCTGTGCCCACGGCGGCACTGTTCCTTCCCACACCGAGGAAAGGGGCAGTCAGAGGGCCTGTCCCCACACTGGCCAAGGCACAACTGTGTTCTGGAGTCTCTATGTATGGGACCTATGCACCCACTCTTGGGAAAGCCCAGGCAGAAGGGTAAGAAATAATGAAGGGCCCCAGGGAGCCCTATTCTCTCCTTAGGTCTCAGAACACTTCAAGAACCCAAGACATATTTCCAGAAACTGATAGTAACTAAGAAGTGAGCCATCTACATGGATAGGGGATGCTCAGATAGGGAGACACACACCTCAGAGAATGTCAGTGGGGTGGGGAGTCACGTGAGGCTCAAACTCACCCCTTCCTCCCCACCAGTGTTTTAGGGCTGTGCCATTTCTTGGGAGGTAGACGCCATCCTGGGAAAGGGTATTAGGAACTTGAGAGAAACTTCTGGAAGGCTTTGAAGTAACATAAGATCATGTGAAGATGGATATGCTGAAGTGGCAAAATCCTCCCCAGGTCCCCTGGGACCCAGAGATTCAGTCCTCAGGTTCGGTTCTGAAAAAGGTCCATCAAGGCACTAGAGTGGCCTCTCTGATTCCTCAGAGCCTGACACCTGGCAGCAGGGCTGCTCCGTTGAAGGACCTCAGATGAGCGAATGTTCTAGATCTTCTCCTATCTGAAAGGACTAGCAGAGTCCTGCTTGTGTGGAAGGCCTCATCCTATACATTGGGGGTTTTCACACCATTCAAGCAGGACAGGAAATTCGCTTCTAATGTTTAGAATTTGTGTGTAGTGACATGCTGGTGTTTCTTCTCTGAATATGATTGTGTGTGTGTGTGTGTGTGTGTGTGTGTGTGTGTGTGTGTGTGATCAGAAGCATGATCAAATATATCGATTCCCCCCCCCCTTTTTTTTTTTCAGAAAAGATTTCCTTGAACAAAGAAATACAGCATTCAGTGTTTGCGAAGATCATCACAGCTGAAGCGGACCCTTTGTGCTCCAGGGCCCCTGTCCTCCCTGCCTCTTCATTCTCCTCTGTCCTAGACAACCATATCCCTTCTCCATCCTCATCCCCAGTTCACTACCCTACTTCTTAACTGGTTTAGCAAAGCTGGAAAAACCAAACCAAGACTTCGTTGGCAGACTTTCCCCATCTCATCTGAATCCTTACTGGCCTGCCTGTGCCTCGGGTCCACATCATCTTCTTCCTGCTTATGACTGTGGAGGGAACACCGGGGTGGACGTTCCTGGCTATTTCCTGCCGCTCCATCTCACCTTCCCCCACGTGCTCAGAGGCTCTGGTCCTCCAGGTCCCTCTCCTCCGGATTTTCCTCATCTGTACCAGATCAAACACAACACGATGAGCATGTACTGTCATAGGCAGTCCCCCTCTAAAATGCAGAGGTGAGGGGGGAAGAGAAGAAAAAGGAGACCAAATGGAGCCCTGTTGTACCCATTTCCCACTCCAGCCACTGTCCATTTCTCCCCTTCCCTCTGAGGCAAAGCTCCGCCCAACATCTGCTTTTGCGGTCTCTGGCCCTTCTGCCCGTTCTCTCTTAAGGTCTGCTCACCAAGCTTGTGACCATTACACAGCTCCACCAAAGCTTCACCTCAGACGGCATAATGACCTCCACCTTGGGAACAGTGTGTAAATCCCATGGTTCCAAGGTGCAGGGCACACCGTGGGGGCCTCTTCTACTTCTAAGTCGTTGTTGGCTTGATTTCCACCATGCCTTCTGGTCTTCTTCCTCCTGGGCTGTTCATCATCCTCCTTCCTCACTCCCTGATTTCTAAACCAGTGCTTCTCAAACCTGAGTAGGCAAAGGAAACCCCTGGAAGGCTTATTTTACAGAGGTGCAGGGCCCTACCCAAAGAACCCCTGAGGTAGTGGGTGCAGATAAGCCTCTGATTTGCATACCTGACATGTTCCCAGGTGATATGGATGTTTATCAGAAAGCTGTATTTTGAAAAACATGCCTAAGTTTTTCCATCGTTATTGACTTCGGTAATGATATTATGCATTTTCTTAAATACCTCTACCTGTTGAAAACTAGCAAATTTTCATGTCTAAGCCCAGCCTTTCTCTTGCCACCCAAAGAATCACATATCTAACGGCTGACTGGATGTCCTATTTTAGCTGGCTGCAGGGCAGACACCTCGTTAATATTTTTGACCCCTCCCTCCTAAGAAGCTCTCCCCAGGCCCGTCTCTTCCACGGTTTTCCTCTCTCCAAGCAAAGGCTGTTTCAATTTTCTAATTGCTCGGGTCAAACACTTGAAGATCATTTGGAACTTCTATCTTCCAGCCCATCCTTCAAATAATTCTCATAGCTCCAAATGTGCCTTGAATTCAACTACTTCCCATCACCTCCGTTTCTGCTGCAAGCCTACATCCTCTTTCTGATGACTCACATCATTTATGGACAGGCCTCTCTCAGCTTCCGTAGTCTCCACAATCTGTCTTAATAAAGCAACTGAAGCGGTGTGTGTGGCTCCCTGGACAGAGTTGCCACAGGAAATGGTTCCTGTCTTGTCACTTCTGCTGGAAACATCCACGGGTCCTGGCTGAAGCTTTGTAGCTTACTCTGTTTCCATGCATTGTTTACTTTTGAAGAAAAAAAAAATGGGTAAGTGTTAGACCTGTCGAAGTAATGGGCGCTTTATTACAGAAAGAGCAGCCGAGCACAGCTCCTATGCGGTAGTAGTTGGGGTAGACAATTCCTTGGAGCCAAGTCTCGAAATGAAAACACACTGATAATGGACTTGGCTTTCAGGCAGAGCAGTTAAGAGTGTGTATACTGGAGACACACTAGAGGCTTTAAATGTTTGCTCTTCTACCATCGGAAGCAAATTACCATAAAGTCTTCTCCTCCTCTAGTAGTGAGGTTGCAAGCGAATTTATAGAAGATACTTCAAAACATACCCAGAATATAGCTGGCATCACACTCAGTTAAGTTTGTGCACGTTGGTTTCGTGCGTGCATGCATGTGTGTGTGCATGCCAGAGATCAGTCACGGGTCTTCTACTATTCTCCACATTTGTTTGGAGACACCACCTCCCACTGAAGCTGGAGCTCACCATTTCATCTAGACTGGCTGGCTAGTGAGCTCTGGGATCGATCTGTCTCATACATCCTCACCCCCGTGTCAAGGTTACAGATGTGTCTGTGTGCCACAGAGTAGAGCTGTGACATGGATGTTGGGTGTCTGTTCAGGAGTCTTCTTGTTTGTTCAGCAAGTGCTTTACCCACTGAGCCAGCCTCCAGGCCCTGGCTACTGTTAAGTTCAAAGTAGCACAGAGTGACTTGTATGGCCTTTAATACCCATTGTTTCACAGCTTAAACCTTTTTTTGGTCTGCCTTACCTATAAAAGAAGTTTGTAGTGGAACTTAACCATGAAACTCTCAGAAACAGAGTGAGGAAATAATAGGCCCTCCCTCCTCCTTCCCTCCCTCCCTCCCTCCCTCCCTCCCTCCCTCCCTCCCTCCCTCCCTCCCTCCCTCCCTCCCTCCCTCCCTCCCTCCCACCCTCTTTCTAGATATCCTTTCCCATGTACAGATGACCTTCCCTGTCTGTGGATTCTGCATTCATGGATTCAGTCACCCGTGGATTGGAAATACTGGGGAGACCACATTTATCCTGAGCATGTGTGGATGTTTACTTTATCATGATTCTCCAAACCATAAAGTACAACAGTAGCTTATGTATACTTGATATTCTATGAGGTGTTATAAGTAACCTAGAGGTACAGGAAGGTGTATGCAGGTCATACACAAATACTATGGCACTGTAAATAAAGGACATGGTTGGTGAGCCCTGGAGAGATGGTCCAGCAATTAAGAGTATGTCCTGCTCTTGCCAAGGACTCAGGTTCAGTTCCCAATACCCATGTCCGGCAGCTCACAACAGCCAGTTAATACCAACCCCATGAGTCAGGTCAATCTTCTGAGGAGAATTCCCTCTCTATAGTCACCCAGATACCGATTCCCTTCAAAGAGATTGTAATTCCTTGAAGACCACTTGCCTGCTAGGAGTTCCATGTCTACTGTTTTCTGTTCCGTAGCAGAATACCTGAGGCCGAGTACTTTCTATAGGAAAAGAAGTTTATCTATGCAGCTCTTAGTTTTGGAGAGAGAAAGCTCAAACAGCAGTGCACTTGCTCTTACTAAGAGCTTTTCACAACACGGCAGGTGACATCGGGCAGGAATACCTTTGAGAGGAGCTATCACATGGCAAGACAAGAAGACAGAGCAATTAGGACTCAGATTCATCTTTTTATAAGAATCTACTCTCCTGAGAACTAACTGAGATCACATCAGAAGCAAAACATCCCTTTGGAGGACAGAACCCCCCAGATCTAATTACCTCCTACCAAGCCCCTCCCTTTAAAGGTTCAATGCTTCTCAATATTCCCACATCGGCCATCCAGCTCCCAGCATAAGAGCCACTAAGGGATACACACCATATCTACAACTTGGTGACTGGACAACGAGCTTTTGAGAAAGAGAACTTTCTGGCCCAATCTTCCTGCCTCCTGCTTGTCCCTGTCAGGAAGAACAACCCTCTAACCAATGGAAGGCGCACATTTCCAGGTACAAAGGAGGGGACCTCGGGTGTCCATGACAGTCATCTCACCTCCCATGCTCAGATGCACATGCAGGAGAGCAGTGCTTGTGTTTTAGGCTCTTTAGTGGTGTTTCCCCTGCTTTTGAGCAAAGAGCACTGTATTTTCATTTCATATCGATCCTTGCAAACTGTGTAGGCATTCGTGGTTCTCTTCATTTTATGGCAGCCCTATTAGGTACAGGAAGAGACCACAAATCCACGGTGTTGGAGGAGATACTCAAGCCCAAAGACACCCACGAAAGCCTATTGGAGCAACCTGGCCACACTGCTCTCAAGTCAAGGCTCATTAGGTCATGCATTAGTCCCTGAAGAGGTCTAACCCCATCTCTACACTGTCCGAAGTGTCTTCTCATTTTTACCCATCATAAAATCTACTCACGGTTTGATTTTATATTGGAGACTGACAGAAGGGAGCATTTGGCAAGGTGGGAAAAGAAATGCAATTGCATGTAAGTCATCTGAGTAGACGGGCAAATAATCAAAAAGGCACTGTTATATGCAGAAAACAAGAGAAAAGGCTGCTTGGAACTTGTGGGTCTTCTGAATTGCACCCAAGTGCATGGCCAGCAGGAAGCAGCAGATGGAGAGGTGCAAGTTGGAGATGCTGGGGACATAATGACATTCCTGTGCCAGTGTCCTTCTCCCTCTAAGGTGTCCTAGTCATCAGTTGAATAGAGGATTATGGTTAGAGATTTTCTAAACTGTCTGAAGCATTCTGATGTTGCATTTCCTAACAGATGGGAAGAAGGCAATGGATGTGTATGTTGAGGGGTATGCGTAGAGACAACAGGACATTATATAAAGCAGGCACCAGTGTGTCTTTAACCTTAGCATTCAGGGCCAGTAAAGCAGTACTGCAAAACTGAGACCGGCTTGGGCTACAGAGAGAGTGATCCTATTCCAACAAAGCACAGAAAAAGAGAGGGAAGGGAGGGAGGGAGGGAAACAGACAAGAGGAAGGGGTACTGTCCAATTTACTTTAGGGAGCAAACAAAATCCTAACGTCAAAACCCAACAAACACATTCCACAAAAGAAAATAACAAACCAGGATTACCTATGCCCACAAACACAAAAATCCTCACGGCATACCAGGGGATCCTATCTGACAATACGTGAAAAAGAACAATGCGTCATAGACAGGGAGGAGCAAGCTCCTGTATGTGAGGCTAGTTCAACACTGGAAAACCAACGAGTGTAGTGATTTAGATCAGTGGAATAAAAGCAGGAAGTAGCATGATCACCACAGGAAAGCATTTGACAAAATCAGTGTCTATTATACTTAAAATTAGTGTTGAACTAAGGACAGGTGGGAACTCTCTTGGTTTTACAAAGAAATCTACCAAAATCACAGAGTCGACATCATACTTAGGAATCATATACTGACTTCTCGGCTCCTAGATCCAGACAGAGGCAAGAACAGTTATTGTCATGGGCCTCTGTTCACCACGGTAGTAAAGAACATAACCAGTATGAAGACAATGAAAGGCATGTCAATCAGAAAGGAACCAATGAAGCTCCCGTCTCTACAGATGACACAGTTGTTGGTATAGAAAGTATCTCAAGAACGACTGCTAGAACTAAGAAGCGAGTTTGGCAGATTGACAGGGACAGGCCCAAATGCAAGAATCAATTGCATTGTTTATGTGATAGAAACAAATGAATTGAAATTGAGACTTAAAGACAACCAAGTTGCACACTAATCTTCCAAACATTTCACTGTCTGTGAATTATAAACGTAGTGATATGTTGTGTGTCCTAATAAACTTGCCTGGGGATTGGAGGACAGAACCAGCCACTAGATTAGACATAGAGGCCAGACAGTGGTGGCACACACCCTTAATCCTATCACTCAAGAGGCAGAGATCCATCTGGATCTCTGTGAGTTCAAGGCCACAGTGGAAACAGAGCCAGGCAGTGGTGGCACACACCTTTAATCCCAGTACTGGGAAGCAAACAGCCCTTTAATCCCAGGAAGTGATATGGCTGGGCAGAGAAAGGTATATAAGGCGTGAAGAAATAGGAACTAAGGCAGTTCACCTGAGACCCTTTTGGGTGAAGATACAGAGGATTTCAGTCAGAGGATTCATGGAGTTGGTGAGGTAATGGGAGGTGGCGGTGGCTTGCTCTGCTTCTCTTCTCTGATCTTTCAGCCTTCACCCCATTATTTGGCTCTGGGTTTTTTATTAAAAGACCATGTAGATTTGAGCAACATACAAGTCATCACAAACATTACACTAATAAGACAAATGACCTGCATGTCTTTAAGCGCCTCATGGTGTGGGGTTAGGAGTACTAGAGCCCCGCACTGCTGAGGGTGCTTGCTAAGGAACGCCGCCCTCCTGGCAGCCCCTGAAGGACACAGAGCATCTGTTTTGCCAAATGTGGCTTACCTGTAGGCTGGCAACCTCTCTTGTGTGCACCCTCCACCTGTACTGGAACAGCAGTTTGTGGATGCAGTTAGAGCTTTAGTTGCTGTGCTTGGGGGCCTGTACTCTGTCCTCCCTGAGGTGGTCAGGCGACCTGCTAGAAGCCTTAGAATGTCACAAGGCAATTTTTTCCCTTTTTAGATTTATGTTATTTTTATTTATACCTGTGTGTGTGTGTGTGTGTGTGTGTGTGTGTGTGTGTGTGTGTGTGTGTGTAGCAGTGTATATAGGTGCCTGAAGCAGCCAGAAAAGGATGTTGGGTTCCTTAGAGCTAGTGTTATAGGCAGCTGTGAGCTACCAAGGTGGGTGCTGGGAACACAGCTCTGATCTAGAAAAGCAGGATGCTCTCTGTGGGAGTCTGCCAGAGTCCAGCTCCTACCTGTCGAAGGGTTCTTGGGTGGAGGAGAGAGGAATGAGGAAATATTAGGTAGAAAGATAGAAAGAGACAATAAGAAAGACAGAGACACAGGGTAGCTTCGGGGAGGGCCCTGGGTCAATACCCAGTTGCCCCAGGCATTTATTCAAAAGGGCTTTTTATACAAATGCCAAGGGGAGAGGCAAAAGACCTTCCCCTTGCAAGCTCAAAGTACACCGTGCAGCCAAGTGTAGAACCTTCAAAACACCTGGTAACCACGTCCTTGGCCAAATCATCCTATTATGCAGCCCTGCTATGTAAAGCAAGCTCAGATTTCTTACTGAGTAAGGTCTCTCTAGATAGCCCGTGGTCACCACAGCCCTCTTAACCTCTGAGCCATCTCTCCATCTCTCCAGCCTCATCAAGGCAAGTTCTTGACCACCTTCACCTGCTCTTAGTCTGAGATCCTTCCTTACTAGTGATGTCTTTATTATACATTTTGTATCATTGTACATTTGGCACAGGTGTGTGGGTTCTTGACCCTAAGAGCACGGCCATAAACAGAGGGGTTCCCTGGGCATGCTTGAACAGCAGTCGGGGCCCTTGCCTGCTTGACAGCCTGCAATCTGTTTTCCGAGTTTCCTCTCTTGCTGTGTGGGGAAGGACCTGAGCTCTGGACATACCAGAAAGGCAACGGCCCTGAGATCTGTGTTGGCAGAGTCCTCTCTGTTATTGCCCAACAGGATGGTTATCTCACTCTATCTCAGAAACCTTGGTCTCAGTCCTCATAGAACTTTGGCAATCAGGATTGGCCTCAGTTCAGTGAGAGCTCAAGATTCTCTAAGAAGTAGAGAATCCCTTTGCTTTCTTCTCAGGAGACGGTCTCTGGGTTGGCGCCAAATGATTTGATTACAGAGACATCACACCTAAGGCTGTACTGCGAGAGTCAATGAGCAGGAAATGGAGGTCATGCCAGGGACCCCATCTATGGAATTAGAATGCATCTACAAGGAAAATAAGATTTCAAAAAAGATTTTAGTATCTACCTTGTGCTTTCAAGCAAAATATCATTCTTTGAAAGGGAAGAAAATGATTTAAAATACATCGATTTAAATTCTGTGAACCCTTTGTTCACTTACATGGGCATTGTGTCTCTCTGAGAAGTGCACATTATTTGAAATCATTGAGAGCCCCAACTTCTGACAGGAAACAAGATGAACAATTAATACTCATAGGTAAAAGCCAAGATATTCAAAGACTACCATAACCATAAGACTGAGATAGCCATCACTACTAATTCACTAAATAAATGAAAACACCATTAACTGCTGTCTTATTAAAAAGGAATTAGATCAAATTTTTCTAGACCATATAGTAATTTTTGCTGTGTCACTTTTGATATTTTATGTAACCATAAATATGACTTAGCAAGACTGCACTTTGACCCATATCAGGAAAATTGTGTTTATTTCTAAGTAATAATATACCCTGTCCTCTTATAAGAAGGAATTTGATATAGAATTGCAAAAGCAAATAGGACCACTGACAAAAAATGCATTACAAGCTTTTATGAATAAATGGTAACATATATGTGTGTGTGTGTGTGTGTGTGTGTGTGTGTGTGTGTGTGTGTGTGTGTGGTGTGTGTGTGTGTGTGAAAGACTGGAATGGCTCAGGCATTTGTGGAAAGGAAAAGATATTTTAAATGTGTGGTGTGTTTAATACAATGAAAAATGTATAGCTGTGCCTTTGTTGTGTTTATGATAAATCTAGGTAATAAGCCTGTGATGGTGGGTCACACTTGTAATCTTGGAACTTAGGAAGCCAAGACAAAAGGATTTCCACAAATTGGAGGCTAACCTGGGCTATAGTAAGTGTCAGTCCAGGCTGAGCTCCAGAATGAAAACCTATCTCTAAAAACCAAGACTAAAAGTGAAATTAAAAGTCTGCGTAATCCAGAGCCTTCCCTGGGCTCCCCAGAATCTCTGAATACTGCCAAGGTGTGTTCTTCCCTGCCTGGAAACAGCAAGCGAGAGATAAGGTGCCCTGGTGGAGGGGGGACGCAGTGGATAAGGTCTCAGCATTGGTCAAGCAGTGTTAAAGATGGGTGGGTTCCAAGGCTTCATGCACATTGTTTAACTTTCTTAACAATGCTTAGGTCTCTTCCATCTGCTTCCCACCCCTTGCATTCCTTTCTCTGTCCTTCTCCCCCACTTCTTTCCCATCCCTTCCCTGCCCGCTCCTTCCCTCCCCCATGCTTGCATCGCATCCCCCCTTTCCTGTTTTTGTGGATGTAATACACATGCCTGCCGGCGTGCGTGCGTGCGTGCGTGCGTGCGTGCGTGCGTGCGTGCGTGCGTGCAGGCATGCATGATGCATTTGTGTGTGTGTGTGTGTGTGTGTGTGTGTGTGTGTGTGTGTGTAAGTGTTGGTTTTTGTTTTAAGATAAGAGTCTTGCTGCTATATTGCTCTTGAATTGTCAATCCTCCTGCCTCTACCTCTGGGTACTGGAAATACAAAGATGTGATAGCATTTTGTCCTCTTGTTCTTATTTTTAAAGGAGGCTTGGAAGGTTGAGACTTGTAGATTCACACCTAACAAGTGGCTCTATCAGGGTTTGAACTCAGGTACCTCAGATGCCAGTGTCCGTGTTCTGTCTGTCATATCCACGCTTCCTTCTCCTTTGTCCCTTCATTCAAGGTGCATTTGAGGAACATTAGAGGTATGGATTAGTCACTTTGCTTTTTACTGCGACAAATGCCTGCCAAAGACCTCTGAAGAAGGGTTCGTTTGGGTACTCTGACAGAAGATACAGCCCAGCAGGATGGGGAGTCATAACAGCTGGAGAAGGAGGTAGCTGCTCACACGGAAGCAAAAAGATCAATACTAGTGCCCACCTTGATTTTCCTTTTTATTTGATCCAGAACCTGCATGGTACAACTCTCATACCTACCTCTTCGGTAAAATCTTTCTAGAAGCCCAGAGGTGTGTGTTGATGGCGATACAGAATCTAGACAAGTGACGATGACGTTTAACCACAAGGTATCACGTCATTGGGTGGAAGACAGTCCTGCAGGCTAGGCTGACAGGGACTTCAGGACAGCAAACATGTGCTGGGAACATGGCATTCAACTTTCTTGCACTACCCAGAACATGAGAACTTCTGATCTCAGATCACAGCCTTTGTCCCCAGAGACACTTCATCTGCATATCACAGGCTCACCAGGTTTCTCCCAGAAACTATGTGCTTATGTGCTGGCTTCTGTGTCTGCCACTGTCACCCTCCCAATCAACCACAGCCGGATCCAGTTGCTCCCTGCTCTGTCTCCAGGCACGCTGAGTCTCTCAGGCCACCTCTGTTCTGCCCCAAGGCTGTATCAGTGGACGGTTGCAAAAGGCTCCCGGAGCTGAACTGCTCGCCATTCAAGCGTGTTATCACTCCCGGCAGCAGCTCTTCTCCTCAGTGAAAATTCATTATCAGCCTCCAACAGTGTCAGCCTCCTAGCTGGATTTGAAGCTTGCCGAGATGGAGAATGGAAAGACACCAAAGACAAAACCTTCGTTTTGAGCCTTCAAGTGTAGTGGGAGGTCTCACGTTCCAAGTTTTCCGGCCCTGACTCTGGGGCTACTGTAGGAAGACAGAGGCTTCCGCCTACTCCTCCGACCCCACCTTGGTTCTGAAAGACTCTGTTGTGAACCTGACTTGTGCTCAAAAGCCAGGGTATCATTCAGTCTGTCAGTGTGTGTGTGTGTGTGTGTGTGTGTGTGTGTGTGTATGCGTGTGCGTGTGTGTTTATGTGTGTGTGTGTAGGGGTCATTTTATTCATGTCATGTAAAGATAGTGCTGATGCAAGTCTGATTGTCCTCCTCAAGGATGGGAGCATGTCTTTGGCAATTTAGTGGTATTTTCATAGTGAAGTTGGGTCCTCTCTCTACCTAAGCTCTCACAGAAAAGTCTCTTCTCTTGCACTCCCAAGAAGTTTCATGGATTCCCAAGGCTGTCAGGGCTTCTTTGCATTCCTTGTAACCCATAGGAGTGGGACCCTGTCTGCAGTTCAGGTTTTGGGTTCTTCCCAGAACGAAAATTGCAATCCTCACGTACTTGAAGATTAAACTTACTTTCTGGCAGGGGGAGACTGGTCACTTTAAAGTGTGCATACAAATGTCAACTTAGAGAAACTGAGCGCTGTGTGGTCCCACAGTAACCTTGAATGCTGGGTGGGCTTCTTCCCATTTCACTTGGTTTTTAAGAGGGCTGAGCGCTGGTGACTCCCATGTGTCTGTGCATTGTAGTCTACCTCCTGTCTGAAGTCTATAAGCTCTCCTGAAACAAAGAAAATAAAAGAGTCAGATTTCTTCTGTGGGTGTGGAGTTGGGAGGAGGCCTAAAACCCTTGAGAGAGAGAGAGAGAGAGAGAGAGAGAGAGAGAGAGAGAGAGAGAGAGAGAGAGAGGATGCCCCTATATTTCCTATGGAAATTCTGTTCCTGCTTTTTCTAGGCACATTGGAGGACAGCTTATGACAGCCAGTAAGGCAGCAAAGGGATCCAGGTTTCTCTGTACACACAGAGCGATCGTTTGGATTAGCTGTACATTTTATTTTATATTTTAGTTTACTTTTTGCTCAAACTTGAATACTTAAGAAAACCAAACAAACGAGAGAGAGAAGGGGGGAGGGATAGTGACTACACTAGCAAAGAAAAGCAGGTAAGTGGCAGGTTGGCAGGCTGCCCTGTGTCAGGTGGAGAGCATGGAGTCACTGACCAGGTGGCATCCCCCAGGCTGTTCTCCTGAAGGGACAATAGGAAGAGCACACGTTTGGGCTTGCCGTCTGATAATCTCGCTTGTGTGTAGCAGAGGCACAGCTCAGGCAGTGTGGGGCACAGCGCTTCAGCGGCGACACATGAGGAAGCTGGTCCAGAATCCACGCGTACCGCCAAACTTACTGGGCTGTGCTGGCAGAGCTGGGGCCAGCGCGCACCACTCCCTACCACACAGCATGCGTGCAAAGCTCTAGAAAATACTGAGTGAAGTCCGTAAGTCCCATTTGTGTCAGATATCAAGGTTCTTTTCCATGAGGCCAGAGAGGGACATGGCTCTGTTAGAAGACGTATTTATCTGAACTGGCACTTACTCGTCTAGAACCTCACTAACACACCCAGAGCCAGACAAGTTTTATGAAAGCAGAGATACTATATGCTTGAAATTCATCATTAAAATTATTTTTACCACGTTTTTTTATTATCGTCAGTATTCTGGAGATTTAAAAATTCTTTTACACTTACACGCTAGAAATATTATCTAATGGCTGCCGCTTCTCATGTCTCCTCAACTCTGTGTTTAGCGGCATCGTTGTTGGTAGCTACAAATCCCCCGGGATTAGAGGGGAAATTTCAAATTGTAAGTCTGGACATAACGTATTGCTTTACTGGTGCTTTACATTTGATCTGGGGAAAAATGCTAACGATGAAATTAGACTTAAAAGGGTCACAGATCTGTAGCCATTATGCTGTGACTGGCAGAGCACATTAAGGGATATTCCTCCAATGCTGGGGAGCCATTTCCTACTCAGTTAAGTGATAACTCACATTATTGACCAGAGTAAAGTTCCGACACACCCTTATTGTTGGGCTCCTATCGTATGCAGACGGACAGCTAACATTCAGGCACAAACTGTTTGTCAATGGCAATTAATAGTAGGTTGAGGGCAGACACAAGAATTCAGGACAGACCAAAAAGCTAAGAGCACCGATGCAAATGAGTTGGCTATATGGAAGTTAGAAAGGGTACTGTGTATGTTAACACTATTATTAAATCATGTGTAACGTATCCCTCTCAGGAGTAAAGCACAGGATGAGTGTACACACAAATGTAAATATGGAATTCGTCCCCGAGGCCAGTCTTTAGCCATTTACTAACAGCACCAGTGGGGACGCCATACCCTTCTCTATTGGCTGCTTCCAGCGTGCCAGCAACATGCAAAGTGCTGCTTGGAAAGGAAACCCCTGGGCTGGAGAGGTTGCTCAGGAGTTAGGAACACACACTGGCAGAGGACCCAGGTTCCAGTCCCAGCACCCACACGAGGTGGCTCACAACTGTCTAATTAAAAAAAAAAGAGTAATGTCATAATCTTAAAACAAGAAAAAAATAGAAGTTCCATTTCTCCCCCAGCACCAAGTGAGTGTCTGTGTGGGATAAGAGCAGTTAGGCTTGTCTGCCTCTCCCGGGGCCATGATAGTCAAGAGCTCTCCACAGATGTAACAGCAAATGCAGCTGAGATCCACCCCGGGCCACACCTACCACCCGGGTGTGTTCTCCAGACCTTGAAGTTTTTCTTTTGTGCTTTTAATTCAATTCACAAGTGTAAGTTGAGACGCTATAAATCACAAAGGGTTTCCCAAACAACGTTAGTATGTAAATACAAAATATAGCATTAAATCCCCATCATTAATATTGAAGAGTAAGTCAATATTTGATAAAAAATTGTCTCGAGGGACTGTGCCTTTTTGCCTGGTTCTATGCCTCGCAGACTTATTCAATTATTATTTAATTACCCGGTTAAATGTCGTGGCTTACAAAGCAGGGATTAGATTAATAAAAGCGTGAGGTTTATTCTCAACCAGTTCCCCATTAGATAGGGCTGATTTTGTTTTTCCCCCTCACAGGGCCCAGCATTTACATTCGCCTTCTGCACCTGCTTCTGAAGGGCGTCCATTCTGTTTGATCCGCCACCCCTGCCCTGACACTTTCTGGAAAGTTGTTCTGGGTTTGTCAGAGTTTGCCAGTCTTCCATCTTATTCCCCACCCTGCCTCTTCTTCTCCCCTCTGGGAGTCTTAATTCTATAGCGAATCAAATACCTTAACGAACAATCGTGCCTGAAACACAGAAATAGAAAGTAGATGCTGGGCCGTGCAGACCCATCACGTTTCAAAAGAAGGTGCGACACCATGCCGAGCAGTTTCCAAGCCAGCACCTTGTGACTGAATGGCGTGCTGGTTAATTCATCTCTCCACGGTTGCTATGGCAACCTCTCTATCGGGAAGATTTCTTGGCACCTAAATGGACTTTATTTCCCTGACATTCAAAGAGGAGGGCAATGACAATGTCTAATGAGGAAACTGGGCGACATCAAATGGCTCCCCTTTCCGCTTTCCCATATTGGGCCAACATTTGGGTATTTTGAGCACGGTCTTTTGTCAGTCCGGGAGGGCAGAGGTGCAGGCTGGTGGTGGGGGCGGAGAGGAAGAGAGGGAGCGGACAGACCCGGGAGGGCTGAGAGGAAGGCTGGAAGAGCAGCTGAAACATGGTGGGCCACGCAGACCTTTTGTTCTCCGCCATCTGTGTGCTGTGGTGTTGGGAGTGGAGCCAAAGGCGCGTTACCTGTATTGTGCTCCCGGAGCCAGGGCGAGGCAGCCAGGCAGCCAGGCCTGCCTCAGACGCCGGGGCCTGCCTCAGACGCCGGGGCCTCCCATTATGCAGGGGCATAATGGCCTGGCAAATAAAGTAGCTGAACATTTGGCTTTATGAATATTGAGCAAAAGTCTTCAAATACATTATGAAAATGGTTCTAATTGAACAGACATTTGAATCCCACAAGCTCAAGGCCACTCATTTGTATGTTAAGTATGATAGTTGTATAAATGGGGACCGCTTGTCAAAAGAACCTGGTACGCTCAAATGGGTCCTATTTAATAATTTCTCTGACTTACACCAAGGTCATATAACTGAAACTGAGAGGAATATAAGCTGAGGATAAGGGCATATATGATTTTTCAGATAAGGAAAATAAAAAGCAGATTATGCAAACTTGAAAATCACAATTTGCACACACACATCCTTGTAGAAAGTCAATTTGGCAAACAACATTAAAATCCTTAATTTAAAAACAAACAAACAAACTTTGCCTCAACAGTTCACCTTTAATAATCCGTCTGAAGGTAATCACTGAGATAAATGTAAGGCTTTGATGAGAAGCCAGTTGATGGAATGCATATTATTACTAGCTAGTAAGACTGCTTTTAGCAGTCTTCTAACTGTAAACACAGGGAAGTAGTTAAAATAAATTATGGTATATCCATGTAACAGAGTACTTCGCAGCCATTAGAAATACTAAGGTATTATACTAACAACACATTGCTGCTATTTTTTTTGTGTCTGGAGTGGGTTCCACAGGCATAGTCCCATACAGTTGGTCCCCACCAGTTCTGGGAGAGGATGGAACCATTAAGAGGCAGAGCCTAGTTGAGGGAAGTTAGGAAGTGGTAGATTGCAATGGTAAGTGATATGAAGACCTTGGACTTTCCTCTCTCTTGTCTTAGTCAGTGTTCTATTACTGTGAAGAGACGTCATGACCACGGCAACTCTTATAGAGGAAAACATGTAATTGGGGCTGGATACGGGTTCAGAGGTTTGGTCCATTATCATCATGGCAGGAAGCATGGGCAGCTTCAGACAGATGTGGTGCTGGAGAGGTAGCTCAGAGTTCTACATCCGGATCCGCAGGCAGCAGGCAGAGCGAGTGACTCTGGGCCTGGCTTGAGCTTCTGAAACCGCAAAGCCCACACCCAGTGACAAACTTTCTCCAGCAAGGCCACACCTCCTAATAGTGCCACCCCCTATGGGGGGGGCATTTTCATTCAAACCACCATGCTCCTTTGCTTCCCACTTGCCACAGTAGCTGGGCTCTGCCACGTGCTCTGCTCCCTGATGTTGCCTAACCACAGGCTCCACAGCAATGGGATGAACTGAGCGTGTGTCAGAAGCTCTGAACTATGAGCCCAGACAAGCCTCTCCTCCTTTTAAATGGATATCTTGGGCATTTCTTCACAGCAACGGAAAGCTCACTAACACAACTACAAAATGGACAAGGCAGCTTTCGTCAATGGCCACTCCCTTGCCCAACAACATGTGTAGTCTAAACAGAAAAACCTTTCAGACACAATAAAATTTCAACGGCTGATGTCTCCATAGAACAGACTCATAAGTGATTTTGCCTTATTTTTCTAAAATTTATTGTGTTTGCTTACACTTTCTGAGTTTTCAGCGGTGAGTATATTTTGCTGCTTTATAGTGTTATAAATGTATCGTACAAAGAAAACACTTTTTATGTTTATGTCTAGCAATCTCTTATGCAATGCACGTCCAAGTTGTTTTAGAAGGGAAAACTTGGCCAGATGTTCTACACACACGGTGTCCCAATCCATTCAAGTCTGCTACGGGAATTAATGGACAGAGATGCCCGTGTTTTCTAGACTGCAGGAAGAAGGGTATTAAGGTCTTTTTTGTACTGTTACTGTCTGACTCTGAGACCCACATCTCAGGGACTCTCCTGTTTTCTAGAAACACCAGTGATTGGAAGCAGTAACTCGGGGAGGCACAGGCAGGCCAGAGGGGAGGTGGTTTTATATGCACGGCAGAATGCATTGTGATTGGAGTGTGATTCTCCAACAAGGAGACTGATTCTACAGCACGCTTATAAAAAACAGCCTCGCCGTCCAATACAGCGTAGAAAAAGCCCACCGAGGCTGGTGTGGTGTTGCACGCCTGTAACCTCAGCATTTAGAAAACCCAGACCAGAGGACATTGCAAGCAAGTTCAAGAGCATCGCATCCTGGTCCACATGGTAAGCTCCAACCCAGCCAGGGCTGCACAGGAAGACCCTATCTCAAAAAAGTGAAAGGCTGGAACGATAGCTCAGTTGGTAAAGCGCTTGATACCAAAGAATGGGATGGGGTCCGTTCTCCAGAACCCATGCAAACCAAACAAAAAGGCACGGGGACAGACTCGAAATCTCAGAACTGGTGAGTTGGAGACCAGTCGGGGCATGGGGTTCACTGGACAGCCAGCCTACTAGCCTACTTTGAGTTCTAGGCCAATGAGCAATTTTGTTAAAAACACAACACAACAACAATAAAAACAATGTGAATAGTTCCTGAGCAGCAATAGACAAGGCTGTCCTCTAGCTTCCAAATGCATAGGTAATACATACATACTACATATATACATATATATATTCTCATCTATGCGCGCACGCGCGCGCGCGCACACACACACACACACACACACACACACACACGCACACACACACACACACAAGCAAAAAGAAACAGCCTTCCAAACTTCTTCAGGGTTCGACCCCGCGTCAGTGCTTTCCTCCACCCCTGCTGCGCCTCTTTAGGAGTGTTTCAGAGGGTGACTGATCCTTCTCACCTCCTTCTCACACCGGCACAGACACAAGCAATCAATCAATTGAACTATCAGTTGAGTTTGCATTTTGACTGGGTGACTTGCCCTTCTTGGTCAAACAGAAGCTTCCCAAGCAAACACTGGAAGAGACTTGGACTTAACCTACCAGGCTTGCTCAGTATCGTGGCACCAAATAAAACACCTTGGCAATTAGATATTTTAGAACTCAAAAGGCTGGGAATGGAAAGTCACATAATAGGTTTGTCCTAACTTCTTTCAAAGAAAATACTACATATCATCATATTCTTTTACACTACTAAATGACATAAAGCATTTTTAATGGCTGCTATAGTTCGTTACATGTGCCTATATTAATCTTGGCAACACTTGCACAAACCGATTACATTAACAGAGTAACATGAATTTGATTTCAGAAAAAAAATAATAATCCATCCTTGGAAGGAAAGTGTCATCACTTTCATGGAAACAATATCCCTCAGCAAACAATGCCCTTTCTTTTGGCAACCTGTCCTTCCTGCCATCTGCCTCGCAGAGCACTTGCCAGGGCCGCAATAATAATTGAGTTAGAGAGGGAATTAGATGTAATGGAGGGGAAGAAAATTGATTGCTTAATTTTTTATTAATAGAATGCAAGAAAATGGTGAAACCCCGCTGTGAACCAAAATGAAACAGAGGGAAAATCCAGAGATCTGACCCCAGGTGGCAGGAATGTGTCTGTACACACACACACACACACACACACACACACACACACACACACACACAGAGTCCTCCACAGAGATTGAGAGGAGGCCAGTGGACAGTTGAGTGAGGGACTCTGAAAGGAAGGCTAGAAGGCAAAGACGCCCAGAGCTGAACAGATGTGACTGCAGACAAAGGACACAGACAGCTGGAGCTCAGGAGGAGTCTCTTCTGAGAAAGGAGGCCGAGCTCTTCCCGCAGTCTGCCTGTCCTGAGTCACATTCTTGCTTGGTTGAAAGCGGAGTCTGGGATGCTGCAGGGATATAAGAAATGAGTGGCTTCCGATTCTTGGCCTCCACCCCCAGAGGTGGCTAGTAAACTTTATGGGCCTTGAAGGTCCATAAAGAAGGATGCAGGGGCCAGGGTTATAACTCAATAGGATGCTTTCCTGACAAGCATGATGCCCTGGGTTCCATCCTCAGCACCAAATAAACAGGGTGTGGTGGTGTATGCCTGTGATCTCAATACACAGGAAGTGAAGGCCAGAGGGTCAGAAGGTCAGAGCTGAGCTTTGGAGACAGCTCAGTGGCTAAGAGAGTTTGCCAAAGACACATGAGGACTTCAGTTCAAATCCCCCACACACATAAAAAGCTGGGTGTGGCCATGAGTACCTATAACCCAGGGCTTCGGAGGAGGGCTGGCCAGAGACAGGGAGATCATCAGGGTTTTCCCACAGTGATCCTAGTCCCAGGTTCAGAGAGAGGCCCTGTCTGGAGGTAATAAAGCAGAGAGTGAGAAACAGGACATCTGAGGTCCTTTTCTGGTGAGAGCACATGCCCCTCTGCATACAGATGTGCACAGACTGAACACACACCACACAAACAAATTGTTAAAAACTGATCAAATACAAGAAGGAGGAGGAGAAAAAGAAAGGACACTCAAAGTCAATCTCGGCTACATAGTGAGTTCCAGACAACAGTTTGAGCAACATCTGACCATGTCTCAAAAACAAAACATAAAAAAAAAAATTGTGTTGACTTGCTGGGGTCAATCAGACCGTGTCTTCTGCTTATCACGAAGGGACCCCCGTTCTACCTTCTTAGGATGTTAGTTTCCTTCTCAGAGTAACCAGCGACACCTACCCCCCACCTTTTTGCA